AGAGAGAGAGAGAAAGAGAGAGAGAGAGATAGAGAGAGAGAAGAGAAGAGAAGAGAAGAGAAGAGAGAGAGCGAGAGAGAGAGAGGGAGAGTGAGAGAGAGAGGAGAGAGCAGAGAGAGAATAGAGAGAAGAGAGAGAGGAGAGAGAGAGAGAGAGGCAGAGGCAGAGAGAGAGAGAGGCACAGAGAGAGAGGCAGAGAGAGAGAGGCAGAGAGACAGAGGCAGAGAGACAGGCAGAGAGAGAGAGAGAGAGGCAGGGAAAGAGAGGCAGAGACAGAGAGAGGGCAGAGAGAGAGAGAGAGACAGAGAGAGCAGAGAGAGCAGAGAGAGAGGCAGCTCAGTCACACTTAAATCCAGATTCGTCCTCACCGAGTCCCACCACCAAGGGAGCGCCAGCAAGGATATGCACATATGGGGATCCCCACGCAGTGAATAATCTTATTCTAGTAGTCCTGACCTTTTCCTCCTCCTCCTCCTCCTCCTCCTCCTCCCTGTCCTCAACGGTCCGCTCTTCCTCCTCCCTGTCTTGGGCACGCTCCACCTCCTCCCTGCTCCCTCCCACAGACATGATCGCGTCGTGAAAACATGCAGTCGGGCGGTTTTTGGCAAGTTTCTGCCTCCAGGGGGCCCTCGCATGGGCCGTCAGAAATTACTCGGAATGAGAAACCGGCGCTGGGGAAAGGCTCGGGATTTCCGGGGACCCCATATTGAAACATTACAAACATCGAATGTCTGGGCCTGTGACCTCCTCATCCCTCTTCCGTCCTTCTCACTTCTCGTTCGTTCATTCTTCGGGCAGGTTCATCTGATGCCCAAGCGAGGTGAACACAACAGTACTCCTCACTCCTCATGTTTCTCTCCGTCAGACCGCATGAATCTGAGCTGCGAGACGCGACCTTCTCTCGCATCCGCCTCCTCTCCTACTCTTCTGCATTTTTCCTCCGCCCTCCTCACCCTGACTGTTTACCCCATCTCCCTCTCTCATCTCCTCTGCATCCTCCTCCCTCCCAGTCATCCTCCCCTTCTTCGTCGTCGTCCTCCTCCTCCTTCATTCATCCGCCTCTGCCTCGGCATCCTCATTGTCTGTCATGGGTATTCGCGATTACTGAGAAGGTGCCTCTTTTCAAAGCTTGCTGCCGCTCACTCTGCTGCCTGTGCTTGACGGCTGTTCTCGCGTGAGGGCCCTCCGCATGCCCTTCTACATGCCCTTCGTTTAGGGTTAGGGTGCCTCACTGCGTGGCACCACCGCCGCCCTTGATATTGTCAGCTTGTGATCCATATAACTGACCCCCCCCCGCGCTGATGAATAGGCCCGCGTGGCGCGAAACGATGCTTTTAATCGCGTGCGGCAGGGCTCGGGGTGCCACCGCGCCGCGGATGAGGACAAACGGCATGAACGACGCGCCGCTTCCGAGGTAAAGGGCGGACCCGCACAGTGCAGCGCAGTGCGTGCGTGAGCGTTGCGCGTGTGAATATGTGCGCTGTCCCGGGAGCGAGCGACCTAGTTCGTTCGCGGGCCCTACAGTGCGCGCTGCCCACTGCATTGGGCTTGTGAGAGTGCGCCGCTCGAGGTTCGAGGTTTCGTTGGGGCCTTGGCTTCGTTTGCTCGTCCGGCTTGTGCTTTCCCGAATGGTCGTCGTTGGGTCCTTGGCTTCGTTTGCTCGTCCGGCTTGCGCTTTCCCGAATGGTCGTTGTCGCGTTTTTTGTTCTTGTTCGACTGGCGCGTGGCTAGTGCTCGACGTCAGCTTGACTTATCCAGGGGATTCCCGTTGAGAAATTCATCTCCCTCCATTATCCAGGAGGGAAGCGGAAACGGGTCCGAGAATTCTTTCGCCGTTTTCGGGCCCCGAGGGCCATCGGCGGGCCCCTGAAGCAGCCGAAAGACTACCCAGGGTGACGAGCTGGCCCTGGCGGGAACTCCAGGGCCCAGGGCCCGAACCCCCCAGAGCCGGTTTCCGTCGCGGAGAGGTAAGCCCTGGCCGAGGCGTCGGGTTGGCTGCCTGGCAGCACTGCAAAGAGACCCCGCGAGCAGAGCAGGGAAGCGACTGCGGCAGTGGGGGGGGGGGGGGGGGGGCGACGGCAGCGGTGACGTCGGTCCTTGCCTCTGCCGCCCCGCCCTCCCGCCTTCCCCCCCCCCCCGTTCTGTGGCCAGTTCGGCCCGAGCGCCCCGTTGTAGCGGAGGCCGTGCTGCGCTTGTCGCCCTCTCGCCGACGACCAGGTGTTGGTTGACCGCGCCTGTGGGCAGGTAGAGATGGGTGCGCGCATAGGGGGGTCGGTCTTGGCGCTTTTGTAGAGGTCTCGAAGAGAGCGCTCCGTGCCCTTGACTAGATCTCACACGCGAAACGCGCGATCCCCGCAGCTTCGCCGCAACAGAAATATCGCGTGAATATTTCTTATCTCGCCCGGGAGAATGCAACACTTTCGTGCGATTGCTCGCGTTGCCTCGCGGGCCTTGCGCGACATACGCACGAATCGTATCGCACGTTAGCGGGCGCGTTGCGCGGGATTATTGTTACCCCAACGTTGCCTTGCCGACGCTGGGGGCCGACGGGGACGAGTTGGTTGCGGCGGGCGGCGACAGGATGAACAACAAAAGCATGATTATGTTGGCAGGGAGAGGGCGATGACGCGCGCGAAATGGCGGCGGGGCAAGAAGAGGGGTCAGAAACTTAAGTTTGAACATCTGCAAAGTCAGTTGGACGGCAACGCTAACAACAGTGGCGAGCTATGGATGAGGGGGATATGGCCGGGAAAGATGTAAAGGAAGAGGCGGGGTGACGAGCGGGAAGGTTGAGTTCGGGTCGCCAATGTTGCCCCTCTGTCGAAAATATTGAGATGGCACTTGACTGCTTGAGTTTGTAGGAAGTCCCGAGCGGGAGCCTGGTCCATGAGCAAACAGCGGGGACTTCTCGAACGGGGGCTTTATTCCTGAGGAAAACGCAAGGACTGCCCGAGGCCCGCCCCCCCCCCCGCGGGCTCCCCCAACGTTGCAAACCGATAGGAACTTGTCACCTGGCCGCTTGAATCTCTAGGAAGGCTGGCGCGGGAGCCTCGCAGATTGCGACGGTGCTTCGGGCGAGGACCTCGTACGCGAGAAAATGGCAACGGCATGCCGGGCGGGAATCCCCTTTAGAGAGACGAAGGGACCCCCCCTTGTCCCTCCGCGTTGCCCCTCCTTCCTCCCCCCCTGATCCCTAATTATTATTCCCTCCTCCTTCTCTCCCCCTGCCTTCGTCCCTCCGTCCCTCCTCCCTCCGCCGCTCCTCCCCGCCCTTCCCCCGTCCCCCCTTCCTTATCCGTCCCTGCTCCATCCCTGGCAGCCGAATGCCATTTTTTGCGACCTTCTCCGAATTCGGAAAAACGTGAACATTCCGACGGTAGGACCCCGCGCGGCAAGTTCCCAGGGAAATCAACCCGATTCGGACCAAAGAAACTCTCGGCGGCGTTTCCGTTTTGGGGGTAACGGCACGACATGCGCGGGCTACGTTGCGAATAGTGTCTCCTCGGACGTGCGACTAGCTGAAAGCGTCTGGTGGCACATTGTCTGGGAAGTGCGTGAGGAGCGTGCCGAACTTGAGCCTTGAGCCATCTTGACATGTTTGCGTGTTCGACAGAGTGGGCGCAAAGTGCATCGCGATTGCGGACGGAGGGAGGGAATAGGCCGGAGAGAGGAGGGTCGGTGGAGAAAGGATGGCGGGAGGAGAGGGAGGGGGGAAGGGAGGAGGGAGGGCAGAGGGAGCAAGGGGACGTGGGATGGAACATGGGAGGGGCGGCACCCTCGCTCTGCGCGTGTGGAAAGCACGCGCACAACGAGGGTGCTACCCTGAAGTTGCGGGGTGGAAATGGGAGGGGTATTTATTAACATCGGGTCTTAGGTCGTAGCTTATTACTTAATTGTTGTAAGCTTGCCTTCAATATGTATACACACAGCATAGCCGTTATACGTAGAGCGCACGGCCTCGCACGGTTTCGCTGAGTCCTGGTAAGGTTCGTTAAGGTTCGCTAAGCACGTACGGCGCAATAAGATGTGTTAGGCTGTAGTAGTGCATATACTACATGCTTAGGTATGTTTTGTAAGTATGTCGCTACCGCGAGCTCACCGTGCTGACTTCCGTTAAATCATGTTAACCACTGCGCGATGTGAAGTTAATGTTCAATGCAACGTAGTTGCAGTTAGCTAAGTCATGACACTGCCGACCTAGTATTTAACATAAGCTCTTCACAGTTGCCATCATTTCGCAACTCGTACTGTGAGTTAAGCCAGGCTGCATATCATTTATCATGGCTTAACGTGAGTTAGCACATATTCTATCTTACTCTAACATGCTTTCGCAAGACTTAGCTATGACTGACATCCATTGTTTTTTTATGTGGGTTAGCCTCGAATGTTGTCATGGTTTTCGAACAATCATTGTTTTTCCGTCAAGTTTGTTGGCGGACGTTCGAGCATATGTGGTTTGGTTGTTTTTGTTGGATTGTGGTTTGCTCAATTGTTCGTGTTGATCTTTGGCTTAGGAGGCATTCGCAGGCAGGGTCAGACTTGGGCACAGTCTCATCTCACAGAGGGAGAGGGATGAGGAACGATAAGACCCACATCTGCAGGTGCATCTCGATCCGATTCGATATCGATGCTGGTCGGTCCGATCCGACTCGATTCTGGTTTCCTGTCAAACCCATGCGGCCCGATGCTTCCATGGCGCTTTGCGCGCTCCTGGCGAGGCCGATCCGACGCACCTGCTGCCCGTCTGCTGACGGGGGATGGGGAGTGGCCGGAAAATGCGGGGAGATTAGGATGATTTGGTTGCATGTCCTGAGAGGTGAAATTCAGCATCGGTGGTGGTACATCCGCGGTCAAAGACTAGCCCAATCTGGCGGAATACCGTCTAGTTTTGCATCATCCCGTTCAGTGTGAGGCGAGCGGGAGGGGTAGGCGCGAGGCATGGCGTGCACGGCGGTGTTGGGTAGCTCGTTCCTGCCACGGTGGGCCTCCCGCAGGCGCTGATGGTACTGCTGAAGGACGCAAAGCCGCAGATCATGGACGGCCTGGAGTGGGCCAGCCTGGCGTCGCCGCCGGAGAAGGCCAAGGTGGGCTCCCCACCCCCCTGTCCGGGCTCCCCCCCTGCCTGGCCATTGTCCGGATCCGGTGTGCTCCTCTGGCTTGGATTGTCGTTTCAGCCTCGAAGGTTTTTATCGTTTGCCTTGCGTCCACAGCCGAGGTCGACTTCATGTCTATGCCACCGTCCGCACACCCACCCACCCCGTTCCCCCTTCCCGTGGCTCACATCTGCGATAGGGAAGATGCAAAGAGTGACTCGGTCTGGCCCTGTCGCTCTTCTCTGGCCCTGGCTAGTGTCCCTTTAGTTTTTCCAGCCCTGGCAGCCTGATCCCGATGGCTTCGGGCTCGTTCCAGCCCCTGCCCTTTTGCCCAGCCCTGGCCACTTCCACTTTCATGGAAATCCCAGCTTCCAGCTTTTCCAGCTTCCCTGCATCAGAGCCTCTGACTTCGGCTCGTTAGCCTGTATGTCTTGCGAGTTTGCCGGGCCTTGTTCGGCATCTTGGTCGGTCCTGTGAACCGTCGTGCCCTTGAGCCCCCTTTCTCCCTCGCTCTTTTTGGTCCCGGTTCCTTCCAGGCCCCTTCGTCGGCGTTTTGGCCTCTTTTTGTTTGCGCGAGGGGGAAGCTTGATGCCAGCCAAGCGGACAGGGACGTGTGATGTGGGTCGAACGGGGCCAGGGCGAGGATGAGTCCGTTCAAGCGTTCCAGAACGCTCTCAGATTGTTCCAGGTCGCTCTGAGATGGCCGCGGCGCCCGATGCATCCTCCACAGCCGCCAGATCTCAGCGAAATTCGACTTAACCTCACTCGATGTTGTGCTCGTCTTGGCCTCGTCTTAAGTGGAGGATGGGGATGGGGATGCAAAGGGATCGGGTTAGCAGGTTAGCATGGTTATCAGCATGATGCGCTGCACTGTGTCAGACCAGAGTGGGCCCCTGAGCTTGCTCCGCCCCCCCGTCTGAAGAGGCAATTTTGCGCTTCAGTGCCACATCATGCATGGTCCTCACTTGCGTGCGAATCATAGGGACCTCCTGCAATGTCGGTGCAGCCCGACGCTGGAACCGTCCATCTCGCATGTATCAGAGCGCGGGGGCAGACTTCGTTGCTTCTCTGACAGCAAGGCCTGGAGTGCAACGCATTCTCGTCATGTGTCGTTGATCCCCTACTGGCGGGACGCGGTTTCGCTCACAAGTTGCCGCTGCGGGAGATCGCTGGGTCTTGGCCGAACCCGTCATTCGTCACATGATGTCCTCTTTCGGACGAGCATGGCTGACGCCCGCTCAAGCTCCACTTTTGGAAACCAGTTGGGTCTCAGGGTACGTACGTAAACGAGCGGAGCACAGAAACGCTGGCTTCCCCCTGTCGCCAGACACAGCAAACTATCCTCACAACACAGACGCGGTGGCATGGCATCGGCCTCAAAACTAAGGTGGGGCCTAGCGCCGATGCAGAGAACGCCCGCGAAGCATCGAACAAGGATTCCTTGATGCATGCAGGGAGGCCTAGAGGTTGACACCAACACCAATATCGGCGGTGTGCCTCCACCGAGTGAAGATGATCCCAATCTCGGTGATGGTGGTAATATTCGGGCATCCTAGGTGGCCGAACCTTTGCGTGCGGCGCTGGGGGCCCCCTTGTCGCGTTCCGCGCGCCATGAAGGGGAGGCTCAGCACAACCACCCAGCTTTCGCGCCGGAGACAGCCGGAATCCGCCGAAGACCGCCAGGCGCCGCCGAGGACGGTTGTAACGCCGCCAGGATACCGCCGAAGATCGCTAGAGGAAGAATAAGAACGGACGCCGTGCATGACAGGGGTGCATTGGCAAGGCAATGAAAGAAGCCGCACTAAGACAGTTGTGGCGGCTCTGCTGTGGAGCAGCAGCGAATTCACGGAAACGAGTACGGTCAACCATGATAGTAAGGATGGGGCAATTTTCCAAGGCCACCCTTGCATCCTTGCCCCTTCGGTATTCGGCATCCTTCGGCATTCTGCTGCTCTCCGCACGGAAAACGTCAACATGGCGTTCCAAGGTTTTTGCATCCTTACCTCGCATCCTTACTATCCTGGTCGAGGGTATTTACTCTTATTCCAGGGTCTTCGCGGATCTCGAAACAAGCTTGCAAACACCCGCAGAGTCAGGGCAGAGTGAACAGGGATTACTGAGTAGTAAGGGGTGAGTAGTAGGGAGTCGTGAGTATTGAGTAGTGAGTAGGGAGTAGCGAAGTCAGTAGTGAGTAGTGAGACTTGGGTATTGAATAGTGGGTAGTGAATATTGAATCGTGACTGGTAAGTATTGGGTAGTGGGTTGTGTGCACTGGGTAGTGAGTAGTGAGTAGTGCGTCATTAGTAGTGAAGAGTGAATCCAGAGTAGTTAGTAATCAGTAGTGGGTAGTGGATAGTGAGTACTAAGTGGTGCGGAAGTATGGAGCAGGGAGTAGTGAGTAGGGAGTAGTGAGTTGCGAGTAGTGAGTTGTGAGCGGTGAGTTGCGAGAAGTGAGCAGTGTGTTGCGAGCAATGTGTAGTGAGTTGCGAATTGGGGGTAGTGAGTTGTGAGTAGTGGGTAGGGAGTAGCGAGTATGGAGTAATGAGTTGCGAATGGTCAGTCGTGCGTAGTAGTGAACAGCGGGTAGCGAGTAGGGAGTAGGGAGTAGTGAGTAGCGAGTACTGCGTAGTGAGTCGTGTATAGTGATTCGTGATTAGTGAGTCATGGGTAGCGAGTAGTGAGTGGTGAGTAGTGAGTAGTGATCGGCTTAGGATTCGGTTAGTGGTGAGGATAGGGCTGAAGGATTATGGTTAGGGGTGGTAGGGTTCGGGTTCTGGTGAAGCCAGTGGGCGGCGTGGCGACGGGGGGGGGACGAATTTCGAGGGCAAAGGGAAGGAGGGGGGGGTCCGGAACCTCCCTGCCTCTTTTTCAAGTGGGGGTGTGGGTGGCGGGTTCGTCGACGACGGACCAGGAAAAGTGGGCGGGGGGTCCCGCCGGACGACGGACCAGGAAAGGGGGGGGAGCTACCCGACGACGGACCGGGGAAAGGGGGTGGGGAGGTTCCGAGCTCCCCCCCCCCTTGCGGGGCATCCAGCGGCGCGCCCTCCAGCATTACTATCTGTTCCTCCTAAACGTCCTTCTCCCCTCGCCCTCCTCCATCCTCCCTCCTCCGACCCCCTCCCGCCTCCCTCTTCCTCCTTCTGTTCTCCTCCTTCTCTGTCTTCCCGCCTCCTCTCGCCCACAACCCAGTGCAACGCAAAGTGCTACAAATGCAAATGCAACGCAACGCAATGCAATAGAATGCAATGCAATGCGTTCAAACGCAACGAAATGCAACAGGACGCAGTGCAATACGATTCATCGCAGCATAGCGCAATGATCTGCATGGCAATGCCACTCAATACCTCCTCCCTTATTCCTCCTCCCCCTATTCCAGTGCCGGAGGAAATGTTTGAACCCCCGCCGCCCAGGCCTCCCCCCCCGCTCATTTAGGGCCAGAAACATGTTGTTTGACCACTCAATGCCCGGGCCTCGAAACGGCGTCGACTTGCCAATTTTTGCACCCCACCACACGGATCGTGCCTCCAGGGCCAGGGAGGATTTGGAGCCCTTCCAATTTTTGTAACATTTGTTTGTTCTTCCTTAGCCTTCCGTGAAACATTGTTTGATCCCCCACCCGCGGCAGGGAGGGGGGGGGTCCAGCTCCGATCCAGGCAATGCGCTTGGAGATCCACAAGTTTCTGTTTATGCCGTCTTTTCATCCTCTGAGTGTGGAGCTGAATTTGCGGCATTGGCAGGTGTGGCAACACAGTCGCGCCGCGGGCACGCCAGAGGCCGATGGGTAATAGGCGGGGTCCATGGGTCACAAAGCCGTAACGCGTGGCCAACATTGCGTGTTGGGCAGGACTTGGCGCTGTCTCTCTCTGCACGCCCCGTTGCGCTTTGTGCTGCCGCGGGCGCGCTCTCGCGAAAAAGAGGAGGAGAAGGAGGAGGAGGAGGAAGAGGGGGGAGAGGGCCCATCGGGATGACGGGTTCGGGAGGGATCCTCTTCAAGCTCCTCGAGGAGGGCAGGGTCGAGGAAGAGAAGGATGATCGATGAGGAGGAGCAGGGTCGAGGAGGAGGAGGAGAATCGATGAGGAGCAGGAGGATCGAGGAGGGCGGAAGGCTGGGACAGAGGATGGAGTGGACAAGGAGGATGGATGCCCGTCCATGCCCGGGTCGCCCCGCCCGAGTTCGAGATCGACAAGCCCAGTATTGCGCTGAGGCGGCTTGCCGACACCGCTGTGCCAAAGGGTGCTGGCGAGAAGGCGCGGACTCTTTTCTTGGAAGTTGGTCTGCATGGAGTGCCGTCCATTGGTGGGGATATATACATATACATACATACACACATATAGATATATATGTATATATATATATATAGGTATACATGTATGTGTGTGTGTGTGTGCCGTTGCCCGTCCCTCGTCGCCACGACTGGGTTCGCTTCGACATCTTGGTCAGAACGCGCTGGAGGGGTCCAGCATCTTTTAGTGCCCCCAGCCAGGGCCCGGTGAGGTCACGCAGGGGGCGTTTGGGGAGCGCTCCTTCTCCGTCTCTCCTCGCCTTCTGTGGCGTGTCATTGATTGAGTCAATTGAGCGGGGGTGTCTTCTGCCCTCGTCTCTTCCTCCTCTCTCACCGCAATCACGACTTCCCTCATCACCGTCACCATCATCACCCTCGGTATCATCACCTTCATCCTCATCATAGGTGCTGGAGCACCACCTCTGCTTCGTTCGCCTGCATCTTCACGCTGATCAGAGCTGCCGTCCTGGCCCGTTGGCCAGTCGGTTGCGACAGCTACTACACGGAGCGGACGGGGCCCGTCGCCACGCCTTCATAGTGGGGTATGGCAGGGCGGCGTCCGCAACCCAAAGCCCTGAACGAGCATGTCTTTCACATGTGAACACCGTGCCCGCTTCGGAGCACCCAGTTACGAACAGACACGTCAAGACAATCGGCCGGACGATGCGCACAGCAGGACGCCGAAGCGGGCCGCGGCCTCGACGGAATCGCGCGGCCCCCGCCGTGGGCACCGACCGCACTGGAAGTCACCCTTTCTCTCGCGGGCGTCCGCGCGCGTTGCCGCCAAGCAGAAGACCAGAGCAAGCAACCTTCTCTTCGAGGCCACGAGTCCTCCGCCTTGCCTCCTCCCATTGAGGCTCACAATGTGTCTTTTGGAATCGGCGATTCCACAGCGTGGTTCCGCGTTGGTGATGTCGCGTATCTCTTCTGTTTCGTTGGTGATGTTTCCGTGGGGTAGCCAGGACGCCCACGTTGACGCCCACGTTTGCATCCTCATCCAAAGCTGCGTTGCGGAAGGGACATATCCTTTTCGAAACCATGAATGCCGCCGTCAACGCAACTCACCGTTCGCCCAAATATCCAGCGGATCGCCTACCACACGTTTCAGCAGGGGACATCCACGTCAGAGCGGACCATTTTTGTTACAAACTTGTCTCCATCGGCAGTGGCCCGATTTCCCAGGAGAGATCTTATAACAACAATCGCATCCGCATTGGGGGCGCCATCGAAGTTCAGTACACATTGCGCACCCGCATCGGGGGCCCCGCCTCAAAGATGTGGATTGGATAATGGGCCATGCCATCCTCTCGCATGCACGCGCCTGCTACGCTCCCGTGCTTGCGCGGTTGTCATAGCCTCGGCATTTGGAACCACTACACTGGTTGCTTCGCCTGGTGGTCCGCCCTCTACAGCACCGTGGAGACGCATCAGGGATCCACCACAAACTCGAGCATGGCTATACCGACGCAGCCCGACATCACTTACGCCACCAAAAATACCAACCACCCCAAGACCGCCTCGCGTTGGCGTCCGCGCGCTGGCTTTGCCAGAGCCTGACGAGGCGGGTGGGTGGGAGCCGCAACCTACCGATACCATTACCGAAATCGCAACCACCAGCATCATCGTCCGACCGTGGGGCTTGACTGGTGTTCTGCAGCCAGGAGAAAGGGGAACGTGTTGGGCCCCTTCTGCTGTCTTCGCTCCATCATTCCTCATCATCGCCGCGATCGCCATCAATGGAGGCTCCATCATCAGGTTCCAGCTGCGTCTGTCGAGCCACATCCCGCGCAGCCCCAAGCCACGAGACTCGAGTGCGAGACTCCTTTTGTTGCCAGTGCCGATCGCTCGAGCGCGATGCTCGAGCGCTCGGGCTGCGCGATCGCTCCCTGGTTGCATCACTCGGGTTCGAGCCGCCCTTGGTCTTGACGGCTCGAAGCAGATTTTTGGAGGCATTCCCCCCCCGCCCCTCGGGCATCTTCGCACTGACCGACAAGTTTTTAGACTCGTCAAGAGGAGGGTTCGATGGAGATGGAGGGAAGTTGGGAGGGAGTGGGACATATGCATGCTTGCATTCAGGGGCTCTTACGCACGTTCTACTTTAGCTTAACCCCAGTGGCGGTCCGACCGGCTCGTTGTCCCCAGTCGCCGTCGTCGCCGTTGGGCCCCAGCGGTTGTCCAGCCAGCCCGTCGCCACCCGTCGCCGCATTGCGTTGAATTGCATTACTCTCCACTGCTTTGCATTGTTTCGCGTGCCATTGCTTCAAGTTGCGATGCATTGCCCTGCATTGCTTTGCATGTCTTTGCAGTGGTTTGTGTTGCCATGCAGTGCTTTCATTTGCATTGCGGTGCATTGCGTTGCATTGCTTTGTATTGTCCTGCATTGGTTGGCATTCCTTTGCATTGGCTTGCGTTGGCTTGCATTGGGTTGCATTGTTGTGCAGTGCTTTGTATTGTTTTGCAGTGCTCTGTGTTACTTGGCGCCTCGCTGGCTGCACCACATGGTATGTACCACGTAGATTGCACCACATTGAGTGCACCACGTAGATAGCACCGCAAATATTGCAAGAGAACCGCTGATTGGGATCCACCCTGGCCAACGCGTATACATGTGTATATGCTTATGTATGGTATTCACGTGGGGAGTCCCCACAGTATTTATCTAGCCATATATGTGGTGATACCTACGTGGAGAAGTCGAGGTCGTACAAGTTTTGAGCAGCAACCAATGTGTTGCATCCTATGGTAAGCGAATTGATGTTGCCCAGTATATGTTGTGCAATCCACGATGTGCAATACAGGTTATGCAGTCGACGTGGCGCAGCATAGGCGATGCAATCTACATGGGGCAACATTCGAGCAGTATGCGTATGCAGTCGGTGTGGGGCAAACCATGTAGCGCAATAGAAGTAGTGCAACCTACGCTGTGCAAAACATGCGGCGGCGATCGCAATGAGTGTTTGGTGTTGGCTGGTGCATGTTTGCGCCCGAGCTAGTCCACGCATGCTCGCGAACGCAACGGCCAGCTAGTGTGGCGCGACCGACGCGGCCGCGGTGGCGCTGACCGCTAGACACCATTGGGCCAATCAGTGCGATCTGGTGACACGATGATGATGGCGATGGCGATGGTGACAACGGCGACGGCAACGCCAGTGATTTCGCCGCTGCACGCCGGCGACGATGACGGCGTTTTCGCGTCGGTGATGAAGGTTTCGGAAGGATTTCGACATGCGCGGCCGATGCGCGAGAGTGGCCCGCATGCCATTTTTGGATCGCGCCACCCCCCCCCCCCAGCACGCGCGCAAGGGCGTCCGAATGATTTCTGCCTGCGGCGCGGGAGGCGTGGCCCCATAGGGAGCTCCACCGAAAACCCCAGTGGCAGCGCCCGCATGCGCCCACCCCGCCCGCCGCATGCCAATTTCGGTACACCCCTCACACAGTTGGTGGCCCCTTCCCGGGGGGACGAATCTACGTGGTGTGCACTACGTAGTGCAATTGAATAGCCGGCTCTGAGCGTGACCACCTCGCGCGCCCGTGCAAACATCCTGCCCACCCACCGGCAATTTGGTTGCGAAACCCTTGCGCTAGCGACTGCGTTGGCTGCTTGCCGCTGGCTGGCGCGTCGCCGCAACCGCGTTTACGCGCGCAGGCTCGCGCGCACAGCGACCAGCTGGTCTGGCGCGACCAACGCGGCCGTGGTGGCGCTGACCGTTGGGGACTCCAGCGCGGAGTGCACGCCGCGCTGACGCTCTGGCGTGTCAGCGCGAGTCGGTCCCTCGAGCGGGCGCGTACCATGGCGACGTCGACACCAGCAGGCGCGATGATGATAGTCGCGATGCTGGTGACGACGATGACGGCGGCAAAGCCGAAGACGGCACCGATGCTGATCACGCCGATGGCGATGCTGGAGCCCAGGCGTCGGCGACGAAGGATTTGGAAGGAGTTCGACAGGCGCGCGCGGCAGGCGGGCGCAAGTGGCACGCATGGCGTTGCATTATTTGACGGATCGCGCCCCCCCCCCCCCCAGCACGCGCGCAAAGGCATTCGAATGATCCGACATGCGCGCGCGACAGGCCCGCCCGTCTGTTTGCATTGATGGAATATGTTGAGCACCTTTTTGAAAGACAAAAGTCGCAAACGCGCAGATTTTTTTCGATGGCCGCGTTGCAACACCGTAAATTGTATATCTTGCCGGGGCAGTCGATTATGGAATCCTTCCGACACCAGGGGTTTATGCATGATTCCGGCATGTGCGCGCGACGACGCGCGCGCATGCACTTCGTCCCGTTTTGATGCGCAGGATTAGTGAATTTTGGCGACGTTTGATCAACGAGTGTGCTCTCAAAGTGTTTTATAACACGGGACGGCGGGGAGAGATCGAATCGTGTTTGGCCGGGGTCACATCATATCATATTCAAAACGAGCGACGGGTCAACGTCGTATGTAAACTGCACATCCCTATGGCGAGAGACCAAATCCTGCCTCGGAGAAGGTGGTGTTTTTCCTAAAAGTCAACATGAATCTAATTTGCCAAATTTGAAATTGTCAGATCCATTGCTCGTGCAATCATCTCGCCTGCCCGCCCGTGACGTGGTTTGTAAAACCCACATGGCGGCGATTGTGGCGACTGCTTGGTGCTGGTTGGCTCGTCTCTGTTGCCGCGCTAGTGCGCGCAGATTCGCGCGCAGAGCGGCCAGATGATCTGGCGCAACCGACGCGGCCGCGGTGGCGCTAACAGTTGGGCATTTCCCGGTGCGTCTCGCAGGCCGCGCTGACGCGCGGGCACTACAGTGCGAGTCGGTGCCTCGGGTGGGCGCAGTAATATGGCGACGTCGAAACGGCAGTCACGATGATGATAGTGGCGATGTAGGCGACGCGCAGATGTTAATCACGCCTGCCGACAACGATGATGATGATGATGACGATGATGATGATGATGATGATGATGATGCTGATGCTGATGATGAT